CTATATTAAACTATATCTTCTTAATATTATAGCTAAAGTAGGATTTTATTAAGTTAATAAAGTCTTAGAAAGTAAACTAGTTATACTTACTTAGGTAGGTCTATTAAAAATAAAGGAAAATTTCCTTAAAAAAGTATCTATAAAAAATATTACCTTTATAAAGCTTTCTTAGTCCTTAAAAATATTAGTTTAGTTAACCTAAATTTCCTTATATAGCTAGTCTAGCTATAAAAGGGTTTATTTATTTATTTATCTCTTAGCCTTCCTTTAGCTATAGTATTTATATTTAACGGTCTTAGGGCCTTTTATTTATACGCCTTATTACTAAGGGGTCTAGGTAACTAAGTTATATATACTAAAGAAGACTATCTCCTTAAGCTACTAAAAGAGGGTCCTTTATAGTAAACCTATTTCTCTTAGTAAGGAAAGCTAACTTCTTAAAAGGTTCCTTTTTAAGGATAGGTCGGAATTAAAGAATAAATTAACTAAATTTCTCCTTAATAAGCTTAATTATTTAATTCTTTTAGACTAGCCTTATAGGCTTTAAAGGTATATCTTAAATGATTCCTTCCTCCTAAAAAAGGTAGAAGGAAATTTAGCTCGTTAAAAATTAAGTGTAAAAAGCTACCTTTTTTCGTCGAAGAATTTATATAAAACTATTAAGTAGTTTTATTATAAAATTCACCCTTCTATATCCTTCTATCTATATAGTTAATTCCCTAGTAATAAGGTATTATCTTTATACCTTCTTAAAAGACTAAAATTATAAGAGGGTATTATAGATATTAAGGGAAGTACTAGAGTTAAGGATAGCTAATTTTTATAAGGGATAGTTAAAGGGTTTTAATAGGTACTCTTTTTAATTTATTAGGAAGATAAAGGCCGGATTTACTATACTTAAAACTTTTCCTTATATTTATAGCTTAAATAAAGGTAGCGGCGTTAGTTACTATTTCTTAGTAACCTAAATCTTATTTATCTTTTTTTATAATAAGGGGTCCTCTTTAAAAGACTATTAAATCGTTTCTTTTAGCCTCTTTAAAAGGTTAAATCCTTTAGGTCGGTTTTCCTTAAAGACCTACTAGTACTATAATAACCTATAGCCTAGGGATTTATAGGCTAGGTAGCTATTTTATCTTTTAGTCTTTTATTTCTTTAAGGAATCCTTATCTTAGTTTAGAAGGTTTATTTAAAACCCCCCCCTTTTTACTCCTTATTACTAGTCTTAATAAAAGGGTTCGATTTTAATTAGTTCCTTAATTTTTCGGCTAATAGACTAATAAGTCTATTAAGGGACTAGCTAGACCGAATAGACTAATAGGGCCGGGCCTAAAGAAGTAAGTAGGGCTAGGGCTAAGGTAGTAGTTAAAGATAATATTAAGGCTCTTAAGGGAGGTAAAGCTAAAGGGGTAGTAGTAGTAGTAGCGGGGGCAGTAGTAGTAAGGGCTATAGTAGCTATAAGGGTAGTAGGTCGAACCGTTAAAGTTAAATACTAGCTATAAAGGAATAAGACTACTTATTATTATACCTTAGTAGCCTCTTTATTTAGTTCCTAGCTAGCTTCTTAAAAGATAGCTAAGTAACTATTACTAGTAGGCTTTATTAATATAAGTATATCCTATAGCTACTAGCTAGATAGAGCTTTTATTATAAAGTATTAGTTAGCTTTCTTAAGGATTCCTTTTTACTTAGCTAGCTATAAAGAGGCTAGAAGGTTCTTAGTAAAAAAGGCTCCTAGGTAGGCCGTATAGGTCTTCTTAATATAGTTAATTATATAGCCCTATAAGGGAGCTATCGAGGTCTTAAGCTTTAGGAGCTATTACTTAAGAGTCTCTTCCTCTTAAAAAGATATTAGTATTACGGTATTAATAGATTCCGTTATAGCTATATATATAGTAGTTAGTAGCTTTATCTTATAAAAGTATTCTTTATAATAACTTTTATAGTTACCTAAGGTAGTAGAAAAAGCTCTTTATTATATAGAGGTTAGCTTAAAAAAGAGGGTAGCTCTCTCTATAAATTCTATTACCCTAGGATAAAGAGGGTGCTTAAGAGGGTCTTACTTATTAAAGAAGATTAAATTATAAATAGTTTTATCTACTTAAGCTTATAGCTCCTTTACCTACTTATCTTAATTTTAATGCTTTATAAGAATCGTCTTATAGACTATAGGGGTAGTAAAGAAATCGTTTTTTTAATATTATTATAAAAGGGGGTAGAAAAGTTAGTTAAAAATCGGCTTTTCTAGTAAGAGGGGTAAAAAGGAGCTATAAGAGATATAAGAAAGGTGCCTTTTATAATAGCCGGTATAGGAATTCTATTCCTCTTAGGCTTATAACTCTTATAAAGAGAGACGTAAGAAGTATATAAAAATATATAAAGGTAAAATTAAAAGTAAGGGGTTATATAGGTAAGGTAAAGTTATTTAATTCTTATAAGGGTAGTAGTTATAGTAAAGATATAATTATTATATTACCTTAATTATCCTTCTTTTATTTATTTAATTCCCCTCTTTATATCCCTTTAGTATCCTAATTAATAAAGAAGATCTTACTTAAAGAAGCTACTAATATCCTCTTAACTACTAAGCTTTTTACTAGGTTTTCCCCTTTGTTTTAGCCGTTACTAGTATATCCGTCCTATCTCTCGCTACCTTTATAAGAAGCTATCGCTACTTCTACTTCCCCTCTTACCCTTGCCCTCCTTTCTATACCTCTTTTAGCTCCTTCTTCCTTCTTTTATACTAGTATTCTTTTAGCTTCCTAGGTCCCTCTTACTAAGGGATATCTCTAAGAATACGAATTAGGCTACGCTTCGCAATAACTATACTATAAGAGTAAGTTAAGATATATATAATATTAATAGCCTTTATATTATAAAAAAGTAAGAAAGTAATAGCTTAGTATTTTAATAAGCGTTTCTATCTTACTATTATATTAGCGCGAACTATTTATAGCTTAATACTAAGAATTATACTATTATATAGCCGCTTAATATATAATAATATTAGCGCTGCTTATTAAAAAGTAACTCCGATTAAAAAGGTATAGAGATAATTATAGATAAACTAGTTTAGTTACCTTATTTAATATATTACGGTAGATATTTATTAACCTAAGGTCCCTTCCTACCTTACCTCCTTCCCTCCCCTATCCTAATTGCTTAAAAGACCCTACGGCATAACGTTATTATATCAACGAAAAACCCTATTATCGTAGGCAAGCCTAGAGCGGCTAAGGTAACAAGAGGGGACTTAACCGGAAGGAACAGCACGGTCCGGAAGGATAAGCGATCACTCTGGCCCAGCGCCCGCAAATCCGTAAGTTCCATATAGACGCTTTATAACTAAGTAATGTCTTCTGCTAACGAGGTTCCCTTGGCAAAAGAAGAAGCAAACGAAAAAGGTTCCTCCTCTTGGCCTAGTCCGTAACTTCCCGTGCCGGCCTTGCGTCACCCGGGCCACTAAGGCGCCTGGGCATGAATGCGCTTCTTAGGACAGTATGTCGGTGGTTGCCTGATGCAGTAGATATCTTCGTCGCTAATGTATACGGAACGGATTATGGTTCTGCATGCTGGGACTGCGCAAAAAGCGGTCACACGTGCAGGTCGGTATCTCAGAGTATCGATAATGACTTCTTCTACGAGCGGGCAGAATGTCTCCGGCGTCTCGAATACGGAAAGTTTCTATTGTCAGCTGAGTTCCGCCAAGAGCTAACGTGGCGGCCCGTACACCTTGTTTCAGCCCTGAAATATCTCATCAAATATCAGCTGAATTCCGCCGAGGGCTAACCCGAGGCCCGTACACCTTGTTTCAGCACTGACATCTCTCATCAACATAGATCCTCCGGCGAAACTTGCCTTAGCAGGGCGGGATGTGGTGGGATAGACCCGATATTCCTGGAAATCTCCGAGTGTGCTGGAGTCTGGTTTCATCAGTAGGTAACGCATCTTGTCTACGGGACGAGGCTCCCACTCGGCAGCTAACTTGTGTCATCCCACCGAATTTACAATCATATTGAAATCGAGCACACTCTGGACGGCTGTCCAACTATCTCGCATAAACATAGGATCCAAATAAACTTCCCAGGCTATATAACACATACGAATCATGTAGAGTGCTACTTCCAAGTATCAGGTCGGCCGAGTCATCCGTCAAGTGCCAACGAGGTGAAGAGCCTGGTTTCATAAGCAGGCTTATTGCTACTGAATCCTGCTGCAAGGGAACAGTACGAGTAAAGTTCCGCCGAGGAAGGGGCGAGGCGGTTTCGGGCCATGGGATCCAAATTATGACCGCGGCAGCTCAAAAGATGAAGCCGGTGCCACTACCATATACGTGTCCTTGTCTTGATGGGTCAGCCAAGTGTGGTGTAGCTCATGGCAAGGTTGACGGTAGGCAAGAAGCAGGCATTAAATTACCTACTCCCTTCCCGTCATCCGCACCCCAAATAAAGAGACAATTACGCTGTAGTCCCGCATATTAAGCCGTAGTCAAGCGGAAGTGGGAGCTATCATCTATTTCTGGATCGTTGCCTGTGGCCGACGCATGTCGAGCCAAAACAACGAGCATGGGGCATGATTAATGCGATGGTATGACGAGCTTGGCTCCCTTTCCCCCTGGAGTCGTGCGAGAATTTTTTTCCGTTGGTCCGAGGGACTATTCCTGGACTATCGCCTACCTCGGTAAAGTGACATTCTCGTCGTGCCAAATTGTCGGCCTTGGACGGCTTCACCAATAATAGCGTGGCTAGGTCGTCTTTGAAACAATTTCGCCTAATCCTTAGCTATCAAACCGTTGGGGAGAATCTGATCTAAGGAATAAGAATAGTTGTAGCAAGGGTCTGCAAGGGCTGAAGATCAGCGCTATTAGTGCGGCGCCTGACTGAATGCGATACGTCGGCCCTTTGATCGGCGCTTTGCTCAACCAAGACAGCCATAGAGCTGCCGTCCACTATACCGTGGCAACATAAATCGGTTCGATGTAGAGATTTACACAGAGTCTGTTACACGTTCTTATAACACTGCGATATCAAATCTCCTAGCCTTTCCGACCCCAAGTCAGGTGTCCTGATGGACGGACACTCTTCTGTGGTGTCGCTCCAGGCTTGCTTGCTTGGCGCCATCGATGCCCGCTCGGGCACGAATGCAACGAGTCCCTTGCGATATGCAACGATTGGTCGCTCACCGCCATATCCAAGTATCTCTCCCCGGTGACATGACGAGGCAAGGGGCTCGAGAAATCGCACTATGGGCCCTCCCTCGACGGTCGAGCCGATGAGCTCGGCTTGCAGTTTGTCGTCGTCGTATGCGTCCTTGGGCGCCTTTTGTATAATTTTTCTATGATGTCCTTAAATAAATTTCGTCCATTGGTCAAGTGCGCGGCTTGAGTGTCACTCACTCTTTGCTTATCGAAGGGCCTCTCTCGGTCGAACACGCTGACCGCGGGCTCCCAGTGCTCTTCTTCATATAAGCGTAGGAAAGATTAGGTATCACGGCAATGACAAGAACCGGCGTTCCAAGGTCGAGTCCCCACGGCCTAAAACAACGAATTTTAGTACAGATGAGACTCGCGGTTTACTGTGGCAACTTACGGGTGCTCGTAATCCCATAGCGAAAATAGTTATGCAAGGACGATGCCCAGTATAGCAACTAGAGACCCAACTTGGATAGTGGTCCAGGTAGACCAATAGATCGATATCAGGTTCTCACCCTCCCAGAACTGAAGCGCCAGAAGCATCAACGCCTCGACGACGACTACGACAGACGATGCCAGAATGCATGCAGCGCAGAGGAGAAGACATCTTCTCATTAGACGCGTTCGTTTCTCACTAGGGTTTGAAAAATGCTTGAGGGCGCGCTGTCCCCTTGGCCGCGATTCGCATCAGTCTTATAGGCCATAGCTGTAGTCAAGAGAGCACATACCTAATGTAAATCGACGAACCGAGGAATAGAATAACTAGATTAGCTCCACACATGGCCCAGTAGATGACGTATATAATGACAAACTGCTGTCGCTCGAGGCTCGATGCAAACGGCGCGTACCGGCGACATAATGCCTGGTCGGGTTCGTACTGGCCTACCATGGCGTATGGACAGGCGATGGGATGGGCACGGGTGGGAACCTTGGTCCTTTTCGGCCCCGAGCTGTTTACCGTTTGCAGTCTCTGGTCGCGGCTCGAGTCGATATACTGTCGTCGGTCAAGATGCCTCGTTGGCATGGAGGTAATCGGAAACGCACCGAAAATGGAGCGGTACAGACGAGTGATCAAACTACCCGGGTGTTTCCTTTGGATGCCCCTACCCCTTGGGTCTAGATGACCATGCATGTCATGGCCAAGTAACTCTGTAGTGCCTCCAAACATGTATGTATATGCATCAACCCAGCCTCTCCTCTTTCGCTTCGGTCCACGCTCGGAAGAGCCACAACAATCAAGCACAATGCGTAGCGGTGTGACCATGTATTAGGCACTTGGGCCCTCGCGCTAACTGGTTCTGTTAACAAAATGGCATCAACTGCACCACCTACGCCTCGTACAGGTATCCTGTCCGTGTTCTTACAGCTCCTGAAATCCACCGGGAAAAAGCGAGTCCACTACAGCCAGCTATTTGCTTATGCACTAGTAATTAGTTTCACGACGCGATTAATTTGCCTTTGTGAGTTGTTCCGAGCGAGACTTGGATATTACGTGTGGCCTCGATAGAGTTTGCAGCACCGAGCACTTTGGAATGATGCCCCAGTACCGTATGGCCCGAATCTGGGGCAGAGCGTGACCGCCGTGTCCGTCGGATTAGACAATATATATGCCTTGGCGTTCTCTCAGAATGACTTCGACCCAGCCAACCTGTCATATGGCCCCCTTATTATCGGTGCTGTGGTGAGGGTCAAGCTTTCTCGCAACTCTCCATATTAGGACTTGACCGTTTCATTTCGAGAATTCGCCTGTTGTCGTCAACAGCCATTCTAGCCATGCCTTTTTCTCATCTTGCTCTACCTATTGCTGCGCTGTCTTTCTCGCAACGCGCTGCTGCTCGACTGGGAGAAAAGACAAGTCAAGTGCCGAATGAGGCTGCGAAACCCCCCAACCAGGTCAAGTCGGTCAACACAGCTAAGCCCCAAAACAGCCCAAGGCTGAACCATTGCAACAGGTTGTGCGACAGCTTGGGCATCGTGAAGCAGTCGGCTCGAGATCCAAAACAAGGCGAATAGAGATAGGTGATGGAACTACTTTTTGAAAACGGTTCGTGTTGGCATCAACCATAGGCTTTGGCATTGGCTAGGGACTGAGAAGCGTTGTTCAGAGAGACAATGGACTTTGGTGATGGGACAATATTCATGTCGAACTTCCACTGGGAGAAAGTGTCCCATTCAAAGTTCATTGTTTGCATCGTGACCTTGATCGCTCTGGGGCCACCGGTAATTCTATCTCATGGTGCCAGAGGCCGATCCCTTACCAAGGTTCTGGTCTCGCCCTGTGTTCCTTCGTCCCGATTAATTGCTCATTGAATTATAGCACATTCGCCTCACTTTGCTCTTGTCTGACTTTAGGTTGATGGCAGCCTTAACAAGGTTTATACCAAGCCTGGACCGCTGCAGCAGATGGAACACCGGGCAAGCCCACACTGATTTTACCGTGTCACAGGAATGAAGCGCCCTTTATAACCGGGCACCAGGGACACGCCCGAGAGGGCAGACCATTCGTAGAGTCAGAGCTCGGCAAAACGTCCACACTTTGGACGTAAGGCTTTGATGGGCTTGACTGAAACCAGAGAGTGTAGAGCCGCGTTACGACCGCAGATTTGTCACGACTCAAAGAGAGTGGCAAGGCTGTAGGCACGTTATGGTAAACATGAAAGAGTCTCCCAAGCGCCGAGAGAGATGCAGAGAACACACTCGAGGACGGTCCCATGGCCGCTGCCCATTAGAAATTCATTTATTTCGTCTTTCTTACAAGACCAGGGCCTGGTGTTTGTTTGGTAATAAGCTGCTCGTAAAGTTATGATGACTAGACTGAACGGGCGAAGGACAGCGAGGTTCATTACGAGCTAAGATTATGGCCATCGTTCCGAGATATCGAGCTACCCCAGCAGAAGAACAGTTATGCATCACTTACAGCTTCAACCAAGTGTCAAGAGAGCTTCCCCAGATTAGTCAAAGGCCCAATGGGCCTATCCAGTTGTAGATCATGTCTGATCGACGGTATTAGCGCGGCAAATGTCTCAGGCTGGTCTAGTTCCGTAGGCCTAATGACTTGTGCGTCAAACCATGATTTGTAAAATTCATTTACACTTCGGGACTCAGTACTTGAAGGAAGTAGTGGTATACCTTGGCACTCGCTGGCCGTGTCAGTTGATCATTCTAGTCTGATTGCACTTCTTCGCAATGTAGTGGCCGTGAAGATGGGCTAAGCCGATTGTTTCAAGGATGTCACTACAAGATTGACTTCCCTCAGTAACTCAACTAATAAAAGTCCCAGCCAGCGGGATACTCCGACGCATAAATGGTAAATGGGCTTGCACCGTCATCGGCATCCCCGTCAGAGATCCCCCGGGTCATCATCATCCCGGTCGAGATGCTCTGTGTCCTCTGTATCAACTTCCCCATGACAAAACTCCGCCGCGTCATCATTTCCATCGGGGAGCCTCTGAACCACAAACTGCACCCATTCAATAACTTGGCCAGTCTCGTGGTCTAACAACCGCAAAGACGGGCTGTGCTGCGTCTCGTTTGTTTGCAAAAAACTTGAGACTGCCAGTTTCTTGTTAAAGACGATGTTGTCGTCATTCTGCGGTTTGATTGTAGAGAGCGTCGTGTCCACATCAGGAGCCTGGTCCATGGCTATATTTGAAGAGTCAGAATCGATCGAATCTGGTCCTTAAAGACAAGACAATCGGTGAGGATGAGCAGAACCCACAATCGTCGTTGGAGGAGAGAAGACGCGGCTGCTGTCCCTGGTCTTGATTGACCTGTGGCAGATGGGCTTGGTCGTGGCAATTCGAAGAGGCCGTCTCATCAACCCTAATGCAGGTCAGCCGTCTGTCTTTGGGTTGAAGCCTTTCTCTTACAGAGTCGATGGAGATTTGACACGATGGACGTTCTCTTGTTTGTCGGAATTCTGAGCGGCATCGGTGACAGCAGCCAGGCTCGCCACAACGAATGTCATAGTATTGAGGAACATAATTGAAATATTGGGGCAAGATTAAAAGTCAAACAGAGGGAAAGTGACACAATCTTTCAGGGCAGGCAAGAGACGTGAGAAGAGGGCTTATCACCGGAAAGACAAGAGTGTGGGAAGGGGCAGAGCTGAGTTGAGTGCGCAGAGGTTCAAGGGGAGAAAAATGAGCGTGGGAGGTGTGGGAGATTATACCAGTCCTGTCCGACGTCGACTCTGGGACATGCTGAAGTTTACAGGGCTGCCCATTCATTGCCTATGTCCACGAGACCTTGTAGTTTCGAGTCTGTCGCCATCCATGCCCGTAAAGGAAGAACACTTTATGGTGTGGTGGCTTCAGGCGTATCGAGTTGACCGGCCACTCACTTTTGTCATGCACCCTACCCTCTGCATCCAGTTTACCTTCCCCTTTGAACGGAGTGCAATAGACGAGGGTGGCTTCGATGCTGCAAAAGGATGCGCCCGAGAGTCAACTACGCCGTTTCAGCAAGACGGCCTCACAACCCCTTTGCCGAAAATCAGGGCGGACATTTTGAGTTGTATGGGCATCGTGTCTGTTCTGGATGCATCATCTATTGGTTTCAAAATATGAAACATAGTCCTGGTCTGTATGTTTTAAAGGATTATATACGATGGCATGGTGATGGCCATCGGGAAGCCGGATATTGTATCAGGAGCAGTGAACGAGATGCATCGTGATTCGTGAGTCGACTAGATATCTGGAGCTCCGAAATATGGCTAGCTGGCGGTTTCAACGAAGCAACATCCTCCACAGATATTCACTAGTTACTCATACCCATATTTGCCCATTTTTATTTAGCCCATCAACTTCCCTTTGCCACCGAACTTCCCTTGCCCATCTTCTCGAAAATCAGAACGCTCACCCGGCGCAGAAAGTAGGCAGCTCGCAACTATCGCCTTGATGTTATCAAGGCTAATTAGCAATATAGCAGTCGTCTCGTTTTGTCTCCTCCCATTAAGCACCTGAGCAGCACATGATACTGCCTCTTCGCCGGCCAAAGGCATAAACCTTTGACGACATGAGTGCCCAGCTGACCGACATGGAATATCTGCCCGTACAACTGTGTGCTATCGGAGCAGCCTACGGCTTCACTCTGCTGCTGGTTGCCACGCCTCTCGTTTCACTTTCAAACAAATGACGACAACACCTTTAGTGCTCGCAAAGATAACAGTATGTCTGGCAAACCCATACATTTCTACGGGCTCGGTCGTGGTGCTACTTCAGTCGTGGTGCTACTTCAGTCGCTCGCGCAGAAAGTACCTTGAACCTACCACTCGACGAGCCGGCAGAGAAGAAGGTTCTTTCCCTAAGCACAAGCAGCATGCCTCGCTCGACCAGCCCTATTCCATCCTCGCCGTACCAGCCTGGCGCCTTTTGACTCCAATCGCGGTACTTTTAGAAACCAAGCAAGACAGGGAGCCGGCCAAGAAGATGGCTCCCGCAAGTCCCGTGTTGGAAATGGTGAAGGGCTCTATTGATTTGTGGCGGCGTAAATTCGGGAGGAAAGGGGCGTGAACTTGAAGAAAGCAATCAACTTGGTCACGGATTCCGTCACCTGACAATGCTCGATCACGGACGAGACACGAGCATGCCGCGCAAAGTTCCATTCTGTGACTTCTTAGTTCGAAACCCTTCCCATAATTTGAAGAGAGCAGTCCCGGAACACGTAGTCCGTCTAGGGACTCCTTCTTGTCGGACCTCTTGTCAGGCAAGGCCAAGGCCATGTCGGGGGAGGGTCAGAATGTGTAGCCTAGGCATGAAACTCTGCTGAAGGATCCCGTACTGACTCCGTTCACGGGCTCGCCGAAGCTTGGGACTCGAAGAAGAGGGCGCAGCAAGTATGCATATTGGAGGGCGATTTGATCGACCGCTTGATAGAGCAGGAAGTAAGTTTAGCAAGTCGAGAGCGAGATATTGCAAAGTCAAGGGCCGGGAGCCGAGACCAAAGCTGTAAGAAGCGCGTTTGAAGCCACTGCAAAGGGAAATGTTCGCGGCACCTCTGTTCGGCATGAATAGTCATCGACATCCCGAGTTGGGGCATTCTTACTTGGTCCGTACGAGGATTGAATGAAAACAACGCGCCTGCACCCCTGCGGGCGAAGCAATATTCGAAACACGCTCCTTTCTCCCCAAGCAGCGCTGTTTACTGCCAATCTGCTTTGTAGGCTTGTGCCATGAGAGCTCAGCATGACCCAAGGGAGTTGATTCGTACCACCATATCACCATGCTCCCTCTTGTGCCTTGAGAGAGTTAGCAGCTCAGCTCCCTTGTCGCAGGGATCAATATTTACCGATGTTTCACTTGATGTTGGGAGTATCCGTAAGGCTGTCCCAACTACCTGCACCCCCACCAACTTGGCGTCACGGGCGGCGCGGATATCTGCCGCATAGAATGGTTTATCCATTACGGATAGTTCTGACCGGACTTCACGCCGCTACCCACATGCGACGAGCGGCGTAGCAGTTGGACACTCAGCAATGAGGAGAATTCTGCATCCATATGTTCATATAGAAGTATTTAAGCATGCCCGCGTCCGTCTCCAGGTCGTCAACAAAACCCACATCGTGCTCTATCTTCAGCGTTTAAATTCTCTTCTTTTAGATCCAAGCGATCCTATAACTCGTCCATCTATTATGACCAATAGTGCAGGCACTTTTGATCAACAATATCTTTCTAAAATGCACTCTCTCTGCTCTTTCGTTATCGCGTTCTCTTTTTTTTCCTGGGCTTCGTGCCATTGCTTGATACAGTCAGCCAATGGGGAGAATGGCTCTCCAACTAGTTTTGGGTTTGGACGTATGATTCTCAACCGAATATTTAAAGAATAGGGTGCAGGGTGCTAAATAATTCTTAGTGAACCAGGATATGGAGGAAATCCGGTCACTCGCCGCCTCTACGGATCGCGGAGACAACCAACTTATTAATAAGCGCCTAGTCAGCGAGCCTATCTTACAGCTAGATTCTCCTATAATGGCCAAGGAAGAAGCCGAAAATAAGGTTGCTAATAAATGTGGTCGCACAAGCCTAGAATTTATCGATATGGGGGCGAATCTGCTGGCCGCTTCGGACGCTGGAGATGTTACCGAAGTTAAAGCTGGGGGCAAGTGCGAGGTTAATCTTCTCCAAATCAATCAAGACGGTGGTGGCCCATTTAACGCTACTATGGACCTTGATGGCGTGGGGGCATTTGACCAGGTAAGAAGCATCGGCATTATTAATCGAGCGTAGAACTAATATAACTAAAGGAAGTTAAAGTCACCCAAAATGTAGACGGCGTTACTGGATTCTCGGATGAGGCGGTTAAAAATCATGTCATTAAGTTAAAGATGCCCGAAGACATGGATTGCCAAGCAGGTGAGGCTCTACTCTACAAGAACAAGAGTTTCTCCTAACATCCTTAGGACCTAATCGCGACCAGTGTCTCTTGCGCCTCGGCAACGGTAATCCGGCTGGAGAGTTCGGAGGTTGCTTCACAGTACGGCAGGTCGATAAGGGCAACAGCGGCAGCAGCGGCAATAAGGGCAACAAGGGTAACAACGGCAATAAGGGCAACAAGGGTAACAACGGCAACAAGGCCAACCAGGCCAACAAGGCCAACAAGGCCAACAAGGCCCAGGGCATCAAGAGTAACAACGACCAAACCAAGGGCGCCGGCGAGGCCCAGGGGGGCAAAGTTGCAAGGAATAAGAACAAACTTAAGACTCGAGCTGACGTGCCGGACACGGGGAAAATCGTTGCGGAGCAAGAGAGGAATAAGGTCGCATTGCAAGAAACTTTACGGCAGCTGAGAGAGCAGAATGGGGTCGCCGGCAACGGCAACAAGGCCAACAAGGCCAACAAGGCCAACAAGGCCAACAAGGCCCAGGGCATCGAGAGTAACAACGACCAAGCCAAGGACGCCGGCGAGACCCAGGGCGACGAGGGTAACAACGACCAAGCCAAGGGCGGCAAGGGTCAGGGCGACGAGGGTAACAACGACCAAGCCAAGGGCGGCAAGGGTCAGGGCGACGAGGGTAACAACGACCAAGCCAAGGGCGGCAAGGGTCAGGGCAAACGCGGAGGAGTTGGGCGGCAACGCATGCGTCGCTAACGCTAGGGGCGGCAACTAGCGCCAACTTTAGTTTAGCATGGGCCCCTGTATTAGAGCCCACACCGGCCGGTCCCGCGTTAGAGTTCGCCTTAGATCCTGCGTTTGCTCTTCTACTAGGCTACGATCTACAACGCTTAAAAAGAAAATCAAGGCAGACTAACTAGAGACTCACCCTACCTAATTTTATTGCGAGCTTTCGCTTATGCCGTGTTACTGTCACGAAAAAAGCAGTGGCCGCCTGTCAGATACAAGCGACAGCGTCAATCAACGCATATAGAGTACGCGACACACCCCCTCAGGGATGCCGGGTCAATTCGTCCCGGGATACCTGGATATCCTAGACCACAGAGGGAAATTTTATATAGGCAGGCCCCATGCTGATACCGCGCAATTGCTCCGGCGGGACTCGAACCTCGGGCCTTTCGGGTAGTGCGCGCCAGGCTAGCCAGAAGAAGTGCGTGCGCAGTCACCGAGAAGTTCACGGAGGGGTAACCCCTCCGCCCGGGCTCATAACTGTCACGAAAAAGATATAGCCGCCTGTTAGATCTAAGCGACAGCGTTAATTAACGTATATAGAGTACGCGATAGTTATATCCTTATTAATTATATATCTTACCGCCCGAGGCCCCGCTATATATTTTTCGTATAATTATAATAGTATTTATACTATGCCTTTATTAATTAAGCTATTACGACTGCTTTAAGATACCGCCCTTATTAGTAAGTTAGCTTAGTTATAAGCGTTAGACCTTTAAGTAATAATATAAAGGTCTATTACTTAGTTATTCTTAAAGCCTATTAATATAAGAAGGAAGGACGCCTTAGTCGCTTACTTAGTTATATACTTAGTTAGGTTTCTTCTAAGGTATCTAGTTTTTCTTATATTAGTTAAGAGTAATAGTACTAGGCCTATCTAAGTAGCTAGTATACTTATATTATAGTAATAATAAAAGTAATAATAATAATAATAACTTTTTTAGATCTTAAAGCTTTATTTTTATAGCTAGGTCTTAAGCGGGGTTAGATAGTCGCGTTAAGTCCGTTAATCCGGCCGCTTAACTAAGTAATAGTACCTTCCCCGCTTTACCGGACCTCTACGAGACGGAAGGGGGCCCTTAGCCTACCTATTCTCTATAACTCTAAGGAAGGAAGGGAAGCCCTTCTAACCTTCTTAGCTAAAACAGAGATAGGGACAGCTAAGTAGCTCGAAAGGGAGTAACCTAGAGGCCCTAGGGCCCTTAGGGGGGAAAATCGCTGCGCGGGAGGAACTAAACTAAACTTTCCTTTATTATTGCCTTTATAGATACCCTTTCCCTAATTAGTTATAAGCCCCCGGGCTCTATAGCTAGCTAGGACTACTAATAGGGGCCTAGGCCCCTACTAGCCTCGCTATATCCCTAGAGGCTATATACGAGTAATAATAATAATAAAAAAAGTACCTTCCCCTAAATAGTAGTAAGATTAAGTATAACTTCCGACTTAATAACTAACACCTTACTAGTATAATTAATCTCGCGATAAATCGTTCCCTACACCCTATATAGATAATCTATAAGCCCTTATTAAACCTAATTAATATATATAGGTAAAAGTATCGCTAATAGGAGTAAGTCCTAGAGGTATAGTTAGCGGGACGATATCTCTTAAGGGGAAATAATCTAGAATAAGAAGGCCGGAGAAGATATATTTTCGGCCATAGAAAAGTATAAATCCGCACGAAATCCTAGAGACTATGTTTACTAAAATACCTCCCAGAGCACCTAAACCTATATTAACTAGCTGCTAACACGTAAAATAACAAATTCGGCTCTAATAATAATCGTTAGCGGCACCTTAGAACTGCCCATGCCGATCTCTACCCCCCTCCCCCCTACCGGAGATTCGTACATCTATTATGCTAGGGTGCGAGAGACGATCTCACCTCTCTAGAGTAGCTAGGCCAATATGCCTTGGGTAGGTGACTTGTTAGGAATCAAGGGAGCCTAAGTGACTAGTTAGCTCTCATCCTTAAGAATATATCCTGTTTTTATTTGTCCCGCCTCCGCACCGATTGAACTTGTTTGACGGTTCGGTGTGGGTGTGTGCAATAGTTCTTTGCGGCAGCCGTGCGTCCTGCCTGATTAATCTTATACTAAACTTACACCCTGCATGCACGCCGCAGGTGATATGGCTACCCGTTGATCTTGGTGTGTGGCCATAGCAGCCTCGCCACTTAGATTGGCCTAAAAAATCCGGGACAGCCTAAAAATGCCGGGACAGCCGGGTCTTCCACTCTTCGTGCAAAACCATAGGACTTTCTACACGTTGCTTTATAACACCGTTAAATCGGGCTTAAATAGCTAACATCTATATAATACTAATAGCAATAGATTACTTAAAGATATATATAACGACGAAAGGTAAGAAAAGGAACGTCTTTTAAGGCCTTTTTCTCACGAAGAGAGATATAAGAAGTATATATAAAATGCACGAAGGTAAAATTAAAAGTAAGGGGTCGGATAGGTAAGGCAAGGATATTTAATTCTTATAGGGGCAGTAATTATAGTAAGGGAGTAATTATTATATTGCCTTAATTATCCTTCTATTATAGAGTAAGTAGAGGCGTATATATAGGTGCCGTCCGTTAAATAATATTAATAAGCTATATAGAGCTCTTCTATACGCGGCTAGCCCGTATATATACGTATAGGATCCGGCCCTCTATATATAACTATACGGCTTAGGCTATAGCCTAAGCCTATAACCTATAATAGTTAAAGACTCTTATATAATGCCCTCCCTTAAGCGCGGCGCGGCGCTGCCCTATTAACGGCTTCCGTACTATTAGGCCTATGCCGCTAGCTCTACCCTACCCTTTCCTATTAATCGTGCTAGCCTTACTAGCCCTATTATCCCTATACCTATTAGCCTAGGTAGCCGGAACCCGGCTCTATACTTATCGGCCGGCTAGCCGTTTAAATAAGGGCGTAACCTATTATATACGCCCCTAGGTAGCCGGCGGCCGGCCTAGACCTATATAAGCCTTAGGTTGCCCGTCCCCTTAGCCTTAGGCAGCCTCCTCTACTAAGGGGTATATAAGGCGGCATCCCCCCCTTCCTCCTTCCCTTCCTTCTCTTCCTTCTTTAACTATAGTAGTAGTAGTAATAGGTAAGTTCTACTTTACCTAAGGCGTTAGTTCGTTCTTAGCTATATAGGCCGCTCTATTAACGTATACTTATAGTAATAGCTATAGTAGTAATAATAGCCCTAATAATAGCAATAATAATAATAACTATAACTAGTAAGTTCCCCGCCCTATAAAGCGGGAGGCCGTAATCCGTAATACTAACTTCTACGATAGATATATCTACCTCCCCCTCCCCCGCCTTCTCCTTCTTAAAGCGTACGGAGTTGTTTATCGACGCTATGCTAAGCACGGCCGACGACGACTCCGCCGCTACCGCTACTCCTACCCGCGCCCCTACTACCGCGCCTACCGCCGCCGCTACTGCCTCCGCTACGCTAGCCACCCTTATATCGCCCTTTAGGGTAACGACGCCGTCCCCGCCGCTACCCGTAACGCCTAGCCCCTCGGCCCCTACCTCTATCTCCGCTACCCCTATAAGTCTATAGCTAAGCGAGCGTAATAGACGTCTTCCGCTAACTCCTTAAAGTATAAGCGCTAGGTCTAGGCTAGAGCCGCTCGCGCGGCCCCCTATATATAGTATACGTCGTAGGAGCTCCCTTACGCCGACTAGGTCGGGCGCCGCCGCGGCGGTAGTTATTATTAGTATACGCGTGCTAGCCGCGCTTATAAGGCGGCGCCTCCTATCCTACTTACTACGGCGTCGGCTTAGAAGGCCGGCGCGTATAGGCAGGCCCGGGGGGCTACTAAGAAGCGCCTTACCGCCGCCGTAGCCGCCTACTATAACCTCTGCGCCCTAGAGCGCTAGGGGCTTATCCCTAAGTAGGTTCTTCCCCCTCCGCTCTCTTACCTCCGCTACTAACTCTCCCGGTACTAGGGATACCGCCTCTATCGCCTTATCGGTAATCCCTATAGCTATACCCGCCGCCGCCGCTACTACTACTACCCTTGCCGCCGCCGCCGGAGCTAGCCGCTGCCCCTCCGCCCTTAGAGCCGCCGCCGCCGCTAACTAGCTTATAGGCTTAGAGGGCCGACTTAGCGCGCTAGAGAGCGCCGCCGCCGCTACTAAGGAGGAGGAGGAGGAGGCTAATAAGGACGATAATAATAATAATAGCGAGGGCGAGGGTAATAATAAGGAATAAGCTTAGGAAGTCTAGGGGCTTTACTTTAAAATAAACGCTATTTTTATCTCTACCTATACTATTATACCTATATCGCTATAACTACTTACTCTACTTTACCTATTTCGTGGTCTTAGTCTAGGCTACTACTAGTAGTCTACTAGTCTATCGTTCTTATCTACCGGCCTATATAGGGTCTCGAACTTATTAAGGGCTATAGCTCCTATAAACTTATATATAGGTTCCTATATAGGGTTAAGGTACCCGCGCTACTTAATAAGAACCTCTTAGTATATCCCTTAGCCTACCTTCCTCTAGTATATAGCTTATATCTTCTTAACCTTAAATTTATTATCCCCCTTTACTTTAATTATAGGCAGTTAAGCGTCCGCTATTTCTTATCTAGGTAGTAGGTTAAAGGAGGCTCGGCGAAAGAGGTTAACGTTAATCTTATTATAAACCCCTATTAAGAGACTATTAAGCTTAACTACTTATAGGCTAATAACCCTCTATACTATAAACTTTATATATAGTTAGTTTAGTTTCTTTTTTAGTCGTACTAACCTATAGCTACAGAGGTTAAGCTATACCTTATCTCTTACTATAAACCTATCCGCTAGCGCCCTAGTCTTATTAGCATGCCGCTCTTAATCCTACGCCGCTATAGCTATTACGGATTAGTAGTATTCTATAGTTTCTTATAGCTTCTATATAAACGTAGAAGCGCGGCTCTTTAGTAACGTATTACTATACTA